AAACACAAACTGAGAAAGCAATGTGTACAGAACAAATTGAGAGTACAGATACTTCTACTTTTTGCCTCAAGACACCTACTACAAATGCAGTACAGATATACTTTCTATTTTAAAACTTAGTATGCTCTTTTTGCTCCAAACAGAAACAATCCTTATCTTTCCTCACTCAGTAATTAACCCAGTCTTAACTTTGTAGAAGTTGTACTGTGAATGAACAATAAGAATGTCTTGTTTTTAGTGTTAAATGGCACTGGCAGAGAAAGAACAGCAAACATTTCCCAGCCAGGGCAGACATTCTGACTTCCAGATTACAGTACATTGCTTTGCTTCCTCCAAATCCTGTTTACATGAGCAAGGTCAGGGGATGAAACATTAGAGAGCCTCTACAGTGATTTCCTGCTTCTGTCAGTAAAAACTACAGAGGCACCATCAACTTTCCCTTGTTTCCAACAGCTTATCACGGACCAGAGGTTACCAGCATATTGCTGTACAGAATTAAAAAGACCCAACCTCCCTCATGACTAAAACTAAAATTGGAGGATGAAACAGAAAGAAGTACTCCCAAAGAGAAACAAAATTTCCAATTTTTCCTTTTCAATAGTTCAGAAAACAAAGGCAATGTTAAGCTTCTTGACACAGAGAGAAGGGGTGGGAGAGAGGCAGAAACGCTTTCAGAGTCTTCAATGAAATAGAAAGGAGAAAAAAACACCACTCCCAGCCCCCAGATTTGACCCAAATTCAGTAAATATTTCCAGAGTGCAAAAGGCCAGAACACACCTAATTTCTAGTAACTGTAACACATGAAGACCCTTAACCATTGAAAAACTCAGGACAAGTTTTACAACTCATTACACAAGTACCAGTTTGTTAGGCATACACAGCTAATTTTTACAGTGCTTTCACTAATACACAGGAGAACTGAATACATGAATCATCAAATCCAAAGCTATTTCCTAACCATAATAATACACAGGAATTCTTAATGGTTTTAAATTGTAGTCCAAAAGAAAGCAACTCCATACTGGAGATTACACTGAAATTTTTCCACAGACACAAGGGTCACACTCCACTGAGTTTACAAAAGTTGCATCAATGTGAACGTTAGATGAGAAAAGATTTTTCACCGTGTTCAAAACAACTGGCCTTGGTACTAAGCTAGAGCAGAAACTAAAAAGATAAGGTGTTTACAATTCATGCAGTTTAATAATATAAGTGTTTTTAGCAAAATCCCTGTAAGAACATTCATATCAGCATATCTTAGCTTAACCTCTGAAGCAAAAAAAATACAACTAAATTTTTTTTTAAAAAAAAACAAAAATCACAAAAGCAGGCAATTTAAATGTGGAAGCTGTGATGGATTGTTGGTTTTGATGAAGCAAGAAATTAAAATTCCTTGAAAAGAGGAGGAGGAGTAGGAGGAAGAGATAATACTAGTATTTTCTCAGACAGCTAGAGCTCAAAATAAATGAACTGCTAAGAAAATACCTAAACATGTATTTTAAATTCACAATAAAGAAACAAGAGTGTTATATTTTTAATTACTTGTTTTAAAATCTTCTCTAAAATCTAGGCAGATTGTTGTCAAGAACAGATGATGGTGATACTTTGCTATACCCTAATTAACTGGAGTAGTGTGTCCTCTTTTGTGCTTCCTGTTCCCAGACAGACACTGACATCCTGGAGCAAGTAGGGTTGAGAGCAAACAAGATAACAAAGGGGCTGGAATATGTGATGCCAAGAAAAGGCAGAGAACCAGGTTTGTTCTCTGGAAGAAAAGATCTTGCTGCCATCTCAGATATCTAATGGGTAGATAGAAAGAAGACAGACACACACATATATTAGAAGACCACTGTGAATTGAAGGCAACAGACATGTTGGGACATAGGATATTCTAGATACATATTATGAGAAAAAATATTTTCATCAACCAAACACTAGAGCAAGCTGCCCAGAAAGGTGGTGGAATCTCTATTTTTACACATTATTAACAAATTAACTGGACAAGGCTTATAAGAACCCGATGCAAGCTGGCTTTGCTTTAAGGGGAAGGTCAGATGATATTACTCCAGATATCCCTCTTAACCTATACTGTATCCCTTTCACTAACAAATCTTCACAGAAGGAAGGAAAAGAAAATACCTTTCTGCACCGTCATAAATCATCTTAGAGGCAGTTATAGTGGATTTCCCTTAAAGGAGTAGGACAACAATTCCAGCTAAAGAAAAGATTCTCAATAAGAAGAGCACTTTTCTCCTATTATCTCTTCACCTGAACTAGACTGAGACCTACAGAAGTTTTTGACCACTTACTGTGGTAGTTGTTCAACAAAACATTACAAGGTTTTGCATAGACTTATAATCTTCCTGAAGACATTTCAGGGGGCTTTAAGAAACTCACCAGAGATTCTACAAAAGCTTCAGTGCTGTTACTCACCCGAGAGAAAGGCTGTGTTTAAAGAGTCACATTTTCTCCAACTGGCGTCTCAAGTATCTGTCTCCGTCAGTAGAAACATTAAAGTAAATATGTTGATTAGCTACTTCCAGTGGTCTAGGGACCTGCCTGTTTTGCTAATAACCCTTAAGATCCTGATGTGTTAGACATGTGATAAATGCATCGAACAAGAATGCATAAAGATATCTAAATGCAGACTGCATTTTTCTCTCTGCTCATATCAGAAGGGCCGAACTCCTTAAGACAGAGCCTTAAAAGAATAAGCAGCTATAGATAGGACGTGTGTAAATTAACCTGAAAATCTGATCCAAAATTTTTGTTGTTTGAAGAGCATTCTTTCAGTAGAAGTAGTACCAAAAAGCCATGAACAGATTTAAAATGGGTCTTGAAATGTTTGCAGGGAAACAAAAATGCACAGTGATAATGTCTTTGACAACCAATAGAAAAAGAGCAACCCATTGGGGCTGGAATCAGGAATATGTATGAGGTAGAATGATGAATTAGACTAGGACTAGAGGATGGCAACCTCAAGTTGGAAAAGGATTAAGAAAAAAAAATACAAACAATGCACAAAAGCAGCATCAATTCAGTTGAGGACAAACTGTATCAAGAGGAAATCTGCCATTGAAGGTGTGATAGAAATAAAGGCTGCATCTGCCCTTTTCTCATTGTTTCTTATGAAGAACACAGGAAGTCTCTATTAGACAGTCTTCATACTTTAGGAAAACTGAGAAAGCTTAAGATAAAAAGGTCCAAGTCACTGAGATCCAGAACCCTCTAGAAACAAGACACAAAGAGTCTAGGTGGCTGGCCTGATTAAGAAACAGGTGGTAATTCCACAAATGACAGAAGCTGGTAATGCAGCAGACAGACATGGGACAGGAAAATGATAGTAAAAGATGAGCTGACATTAGAAAGCAGGGAGAACCAGATTGGTTGGCAAAGCTGGAGAAAGTGTTATTCACTATGAGAGAGGAAGGATTTTATTGGCAATGGAATCATGCAAATGATTCTTGAATTTGTGTGAACAGTGGCAGGGTTAGGGTTAACCAGTGTTGAACAGGACAGCTGCCCTTAAGGCTACAGTCCAAGTAACAAGGTTATAGAAATGTTTCTAGATGGAAAAAGACACAGATGGGGAATGCTGAAATGCAACTGTGGTGAAAATCAATGATAACTGGTAAATAGAGATGCAAGAAAAAAAAAAATAGTGATTACTGACACAGTCGAAAAGCATCAGTTCTGAAGCAACATTTTTATAATGAAGATTCGTAAAGCCAGACAGACAGCAGTCAAAAAAACGCTGTACCTCTTGGGTCAATGTATTCCTCTGAGTTCTGGGCATAAAGTTTTATAAGCTGCTTTCATATCAAAAGAATTAATCAAAAGATTTGTAGGTATGTAATAAAGAACTACAGTGCAACCATACATTTGAACCCTGTGATGGGCAGAATCAGTAATGAACACTGAGTACTTAAAAGTGATAGGTAGTCAATAAATTATATCTACCACAATCCACTGTCTATGAAGCCTACTAAACAGATGTAAGTCTACAAAGAACCACATTTCCACTGTGAAAACATGACATAATTGACAAGCCTTAAAATATATAACATCATCACCCCTCAAATACAAGTCATTATATGATTATTTGTTTTAAGTAAAGGTTTCTCAACAACCTGGGCATCATGATCTTGAAAGATGATCTTAAGAATTTTATATAGTACCGTCACAACATAGCTTTCATAAAGCATTCATGACAAAACAGAACAGCAGAAACCACACCTTTTCCTAAGTATTAACCCTTTTGTAAGTATTAACCCTTCAACCACACAAACTTTTTACAGTAACTAAAATCGCTAAAGACACAATTTGTGCCTTCACAGGAACAGATTCCGAGCTGAAAGAAAAATTCTCAGTTTAACCTAATTCTAGGACAGCATGTCTTTTAGATTTCATACCAGGAGAGCATATTTCTCCTCCCACGAAACTATCGCTAAAACATTGCCTTCCTCTCCTCCCACACGCCATACCAATGTCATATGTAAAGCCAACACTAGAAGACTCTAATCCTATTCCTCTGTCTTAAAATGTATTGCTTTTTTTGGGTTTTTTCCTTCTAGGGAACTATTAAATTACTTAAAAGGAGAAATAATAAAACATCACTTTTAGAATTGTATAAGTGAGACAATGATTCTTTAGGGTTACCATTATTTGCAGATAAAGACAGACTACAAAAAGTGCTTGAGAATAAGCCACAAATTTTAACAGCAATATTTAGATGTACTTAGCATGGGTTTATAAATAGAATTTGCACCTAGTATAGTGGTAAAATTACAGGTATAAAATGAAAGCTTTGCTATTACACCATCTTCTGGTTAGACTTGGGAACTGAGACAGAAAGTTTAAGTTGAGAATTTAGGATATTGAGCTCTGAGCACTCGACAGTTGCTAAAAAAATCTATTTCATTCATATGGACAATAAAAGCACATTTCTGTAACATGTTAGCTATACCCTATCCTTTTTTTTTTTAAAAAAAGTTACTTACAGTAGTACTGATACGTGAAGATGGTCTAATTTCGACGATAATTGTGTCAGGTGTTTGTTTATCAGGCACATCACAGATAGAGTTGACCTGTTGAAAATTAATTATGTCATTATTTCAGCACCAACACAGAAAAGGAAATAAGACTGAAATAAAAAGTGAGGACACACTCAGCAGCCCAGATCAATTGGTTCCCAATCCCCATTCAAGTTCCTCAAGTTATCCACTACTAACAGACTGTCAATATGCTTACTTCTTCTGTACCAGCTCTGATTGCCAAAATAACTTTGAAAGCACTTCTGTGGAAAACAGGTAGGAAGCAACACTGAAATCTGTGGTAAGTTAACAGATCAAACAAGCGATGTTGCCCATGAAACCACAGGAAAAACTGCTTTATACTAGGACAATGTCAGAGGCTGATTGATCAGATACATCATCACAGTATCTGCAATTTTGCTCTTAATATCTCAGTTACAACTTGCTTATTTTTGGCTATAGAAGTTCATCTATAACTTTATCAATATTTTGCTAATGTCCTTTCCTGAAAGTGAAGCATTAAGAAAGTATCAGAGAATATGAAATTTGAGAAAGCTGCTGCTTTTATCTTATGGCTCCACATAAAGATCAGAATAACCTCCCTATAAAAATCTGTGTGCATATTATTCCTACTATTATATTATCTAGGTGTATCACAGCCTAAGATGTTTGCCCTCTCAGCATGATGCATGGAAGTACTATTCTTATTATTCCATAAGCTGGCAAAATTTACATAAAGATTAGATGACTTGCAAATCACCAAGAAGTCTGATGTAATAAAGAGAAATGAACTTTTCTATTTCCAACTTTTTCTCAGTAATACAGAGAGAGTATTAATTGCAACCACCTCACTGAAAGCAGAAAAAAAAAATCCCAGAACCCTCAAAACTCACACTTGCCTAGTGACAGGATGAAGTTTAGTCACAGAAAGTTTCTTAGCTTCAAGGGTCATTTTATTTTGACTTCTCAAGAAGAAGATCCTACTATTTCACCTGAAGAGTGTCAAAGTTCTGGCTCAGCCAGAGCTGCTCACTCAGTAACTGCTTCAGTACTCTTTCCACAGGGAAAAATCCATGATGCTAGGGTCCATAAATTGGTATAAAGGCCTTTAGGTCAAAGACATGTTTGTTAAGTAGCTAGAATACAATCTTATATCTGGAATTAATAGTCAGGGAAGGAGGGCAACAGCATCTTGTACTGCCTAAAGACTTTTCATTCAGTTTATTTAGATTTCCATAAGTTGCAGAAATTTAGGTTACAATTAATAGAAGCAAGATCTCCCTCAGTAACTACAAGTGGAAGATGGACAAAGTTTACCAGCAAGCAAGAAGAAACATTTAAAAACAGCCTGATTATTCAAAGTGATTCTTACACTTTGCAGTGCTTACAAAGCTGGGATGACAAACCTTCCTTAAGGGGAGATTTTAATACTGTTTTTAAGCTTGTTCACTTCTCTGAATAGCAGTGCTTAGCTCTTTCTTTTATGCAGTTTCAACAAGCCATTCTTCATCGATGAACTCTTTTTCTGTCTTCCAATTACAGGTGCATCAGTCAAGAATGAACAGGGACTCAGGGACAATCAACCCCGAGTCCCTGAAGAGAGGACAATGCATCTGCAGGCTTCTGCAGAAGGACTGTAGACACCTCCTACCTATCAGCACTCTAATGTGGAGGAACTACTGCAGTATTATCACTAATAGCTCTTGAAACATCTTCTTTGAGAACCTATATATAACCTTTTTGTTATATATATCAGAGATTTTGTTATATCAGAAATTTTGCAGAATGAGTTAAATTCTTGATACAGATTGGTAAATAAATACATGGTATTATTAAATGAAAAAAAAATGCTCTTTTTGTAGAAGTGTCACATCCTGGAGCTAGAATGAAAGTTCCTCTTAGTATTCTTCTGTTCATTGCTTTATCAGTGGTAAGGGGAGGATGAGGAGCAGTGTAAACACCGACTGGCAGGGGAGGAACTATCAAAAGCTATACTAAAAGAATTAAATAAAAAATTATTAAGCAACTAGTCAGAAATAGCATCTAAAAGTGTCTAAAAATGTGCAAAAATATAGAGGCTGTATCTAAGTCCTTCGTACAAATATTAGTGTTTAATATTGCACTAAAAATGAATGAGGTAATGGAATGCAGCTAAATGTAAAAGTCTCAAATTACTTGACATTTCCTGACAAGGTGATGTAGTTAGCTGTAAAATAACTAATAGCTGTAAAACAATAAATAAGACCAAGGGAAGTCTTAAAGGTAAGTCTTTAAAAGTCTTAACTTTAAGAAACAAGATAGAAAAACCAGAGCACCAAAATGCAAGGCAGGGAGTACTGTCATGTATTACAGGGTTCCAAAAACACTCTTTCAAAGCCTTGTTTTAATTACCTGGTAAACTGATGCATAAATATTTTCAAGATCATCTTTCAATATCAACTTCTAATATGATAATACAATTATCACATTTTGATCCATAGTACAATAAAATATAGGGAACGTTTCTACAGAATCTTTCACAAACGAGAAAAATAAAGTTAATAAAATTAAAAAAGGAAGTTTTAAATTACTCAAAGTATTTCTTAGGAAAGTGATTTAGCTATAGCTGCTTCTGAAATAATCTCTCCAAACACAGCAAGGGAAAATTAGCTTTCAATTTGGTTAAACACTGTTCTTTGTTCTAGGCTGGGGCACTCACACCAAGCAAGCCATATAATCTTTTTTCTACTGCCACCTAGTGTATATTTCAATTTCCTTCATCTAAGAAAATATTTACAACTGAAATTACACTGAAAATTTTAAGATTAAATTAAATCAACAGAAGCTATTTGTGCACAAGAGAAACTCTATACACCTTAATATGTTCGAATCTCAAAGTTGTTTTGAAAGAAACTAGTTTCTAATCTTCCATTTATTTTAAAGAAGTCTTCAGCACATGAAAGGTCAATTACATACAAACATGACAAATTAAGAAATACAATTCTCACCAAGTCAAATGCAGTTTTTTGTATATTTCACTAAAACTGCATAACTGATTAAACATACTGTTTTCAAATAACTCCACAAGGTCCTTATGTCAGAGACAACAACTGGGGTTTATCTCAGCTAAATTTAGATACTGCTAGACACCTGTATTTGAGCTGGTAATCACCTAAGATTATCTCTACAGTCAACAGGAAAATGTAGGCACCTTCAGAGAGCAAATAATTTACTTATATTTCCAAGTTGTCTGAAAAATTGCAATGATTATAAGCATTAATTCTCTACTTACTCGAATATTCAAGAATCACATTGATCAGTGCAGTTGGAGAACAGGTATAAAGCTTTACAAGTAATAACATGAAATTCAACACTGCATTAAAATTCAGGCTGGGCTGAGAAGAAGACACAACTAATGATTTTCTTGTGAAAGTTAATTATGCCTCAAAAAATAGATAGGGAGAGAGAAAAAAATAGGGAAGGTATCTGAAACATTATTGGTTTGCTGTATAGCTTTGAAGAGTGAATAAAAAAAAGAATTATCAGAAAAGGCAAAATATACTTAAGCTTAATCTTTCTGCCACTGTCCTGAAGGCAAAACACCAGATGATACCTGGAATTCTTGTGCCAGCTGCTTTATTCAAAAGAACACTTCCAACAGGTGATGTGTGAAAACATTGCAACTGTGCTTCTGATCTCAGCTGAATAAATTCTAAGCCAGATCCATTTTTGTGTAACTATTTCCCCAGAATTGATTTCTGGAATTGCTCTGCCACACTGAGACAAGCAGGGATAGAGAAGCAATAGCTAACCAAAAGCATTTAAAAAATAAAAAAAAAAAAAAGGAAAGGTGTGGAACATTAGGAATTTTAAAAAATAGGTAAAAAAGTAAAAAATTACTTTCCTCTTGAGTTCTGCCTGTACATCTGCTGAACTTTTTGTGTTCTAACACCTTTAATTTTATCCTAAGGCAATCCTTCTTCATTCCTGTTGTAGAGGTGACTAAACTTAACCAGTTGAGCATAACTCAAGGCAATGTATTACAACACATCTCAAGTATTTAGATGACATTGTAGTGGCTTGTAGGAAGCCTTAAGAATTCACTGATACTTTTAAAAATCCCATCTCTGAACTGCCTCCTCTGTCTGCATGTAATTCTTGCATATGTTACCAAGTTTCTTTGAATAGTGTTAACTTCTGTTTAGTTAAGATCAATTATCTTACCCTGTTCATATAGAAATATGAAGAGAAAGGAAGAAAACAAGAAAGGAAGTAGGTCTGCATATTATCTGAGGTGTAGATGAGATAAAAGGAAAAAACTGTCATTACAACTGCTGTGCTGTAGTGGAATAGATCACACAGACAGGGGAATCTCCAACCCTCTTCAAGGCCCCCTAACCAGACACAGCTGAACTGATGTACCATTGATAGGAAGAAGAGACGATCTCCAGAAGCTCCCTCTGACATGCCTGTGATTCCATTCCTCCTTTCCCTTATATATGGGAACCATGATGAGCCATTGAAATATGAGGGTGGGATTGCAGTGGAACAGCCTAACATTAGAATTCTCTCTATTGCTTCTGGCATAGAAAGAGGTTGGCATGTGAAAAAAAAAATATTTTAACTGAAAAAGGACAAAAATACTTTTTTCTTTTTTTCTTCTCCAGAGTACAGCATAGCAGGTCTAGACAATATGCTTTTTCTCAGTTACAAGAGGAAATAGTTAAGAAGATGGAACACTGAAAAATTTCATGCACAGTGCCACCTAAGAATTAGTGCACACTAACTGAAGCATGTTACTGCTGGTAGTAACCTGATACCAGTTTTGTCTGGATAAATTATGCTTTTGTCCAATCAGTAAGGTCTGTTCTTCCTCATCACAACAAAAATCACACAATTTTTATTGAGACAGACAGGAGAAGCAATAAAAAAAAAGACATATGGAAATTTGATAATGTCACCTGAACACCATCTCAATTACAATATTATTATATTAATTCTAAAAATTAGCTGCAAAAGCAATTCTAATAACTGTTACTATATTATTTAATTTAAATATATAAAAATGTATTAAAGTAATGAGTTTTGTTGAAACTGTCAGACACTGTTTTGTCTCAAATATGTAACATACTTGGTGTTTACTTGAGAGAAGGATATTCTAGTGACAATATGATGTTAATGGAAAACTAGATACAGCAACTCTTGTTAAAAGCCTGAAATCAGGCCAGAAAATAGAACACAAAGAGTCCAAACTTTGCTATGACAAAGCCATAGAGCTCTTTCACTACTACAGAGCAGCCCAGGAGCCTATAAGCTGCAACAAATGCTGCAGAATAAATACAGACATAAGGCTACGTTAAATCTCAAAGCTAACTAACAAATAATTTCTTGACATTCAAGTACTGACTAGCCCCTTCAGTACTCATAATGAGGCTTCCTAGCCTTAGTTTAGCTTTAGCCTGAACTCATTAATGCTTATACAGAGTTTCTCAATTATACAGGACCAGGAACAAGAAAAAAAAAAAAAAAAATTTGAATGGTCTTGAAGCAAAATGTTGCTCCAGCAAGACTGGTTTGAATTTGCTGGCAAATGCTGTGATTGAGTTTGTTCTGGCACTTACCAACTATACTAAAGGCTGGTACCTGTAAACTTAACTTCATTCATTTACCTTACAACAAATATGAAAGTCCAGCACGGAAGTTTGTTTATGAAACTTGTCATACATACAGTCATCCTGTTCTGACCAAAATACTAAGCATTATAAAGCTTCACATCCGACTTGACAATAGAATCAGGCACAAAAGAAATCTTAGTCATAGATTTTATCAGAGTTCCCTTCCTCCAGCAAATATTTTCAATCTCTATACTATTCATTTTCATATATTCATATTGCAAACACAGCCACCCACCCAAAAAAAGGCTCAATATCCCCAAATGTTAATGTTTGAAAACTCTGAGCAAAATGAAACAAATGCCGTGGCAGCAGTATCTACGTTTTCTATGTAGACAGCCAGGAAATGGTGAATTTCTATAGTACTCTGATAGCATATTACAGCAATCAGAAAGCTCCTAGATTTATCTCAGATATAGTTCAACACTAAAGCAATCTGGAGACTATCAAAAAAGAAGAAAATATAGAAGCCAGGCAGCTCTGTCAGGGACCATTACATAAACAATGGCCTCATTGAAAGCATAACACTATTTACCTGTTCAGGATATCTTTCAGACTACTTAAACACAGGATTTTTCCTAATACTGACACAGAACATTTGACATTGCACTTAGGTTCCCTAATTTCCAACACTTTTGATGAATGCCAGTGGACAGTTTGACAGTAAAGTAGTTCAAGAATGAAATATCAGGAAATCAGACTACATAGCGATGTAAAACACACTGGTAGCCTAGAAAGTCTTTTAGATAGGTATCAAGATCATCTCACAATACCTAAAGGCCTTGGAAAAAGGAATAGCTTGTGATATCTTTTACTGACTTTCAGTAATAGCATCACTTTGTCCTGCTCACAATGATTTGTTTTTATTAGTATTCTAAAGCTCATTGGAGATTCTGATGCCTTCTGCAACACTTGCAGTGTTATTTCAGAAACCAGATTATAACGTATGTTTTGCTTGAATCAGATGTAGGATACAGACACAGAAGAAACATGAAAGTAATTTCAGCATAAACCTGCCAGCACCAGCTTGCCTAATAATCCTAATGGAGATTCCTAAGTTACAGTTGCTTCCAAAGTATTATATATAACAATTAAAAGCTCACTGGTATACATAAAACATATTTAACTACAAATGTCAGACAGTCAGCCTCTTGTTTCCTAAATCAGACAATTTATTACACTCACCTCAACTGACTTGAGTTTTTTACTATGTAAATGAGATGACCTTGGGTAAATATCAAGAAGATGAGGAGGATCATCAATATGTGTTCTTCTAAAATTGTGTTTGAGAACTTCTTCATAATCCAAAGTATCAAAGTTGGTTTTCCACAGTAATACCTGTAAGAAATCTTTATATCAGTAACTATTTGAAGGCTATTCAGTACTCAAAACATAACTACTCAGTAAAGTCTGTTACTGCTAGTAGATCACTGCATCAAAATGATGCTGCAGTGATGCCTTCTCCTGATCCCTACCGCAACACAGGCACTTCCCCAGAGTAACTTTACTTTAATCCTAAAAGATGTGGTTCATTCTATTAAAAAAATAACCTCTAAAATATGTCTATAATCACAAAACAAACTCATGTCCCACTGAACTGTCCCAAGTTACTTTTCTGCCAGATCAAGGGATCACATACTGTAAAATTTCTGCCCCATATAAAGGCTTGCAGGTCTAACAAGAAAGTTTGAAGGAATAAAAGAAATGAGAGAGTTCTACAGAACTCTGAAACTCTAAAAAAGTGTTTTAGCAACAGAAATCTCTTTCCTGAACTTCATCTAATTATGTTCTAGGTAGAAACAATATGCAAGTCACACAATGACCAAATGCAGAAGGTTGCAGGATATAGAGGTAGTCCAAAGGACTTATGTATCCAGTCTTACGAAGATTCCGAAAAACAAAATCACAACACACAATGTTGCTCTCTCATGTCACAAAATAATTGCATATTTAAGTAATTTAATTAAGTTTACATGACCTGTGAACTACTTCTTACTTTACATACTAAGGGAGAAAAGACCAGCCAATAATATTTTTGACAGATATTAAAAGTAGTTTTCAGGCGTTAATAATTAAGCAAAACAAATCATAAATTTGTTCACAGAAATTTCAAGTGCACTATATCATAGTTTTAATATATTCCTGAATAGCTGCATTACTACAAGTTCATTTCAAGTTCCACATCTTTCATGACACCTTTGAGTCAAAGACCCTGAATATGCACTGGGAGACAGTGCACCAATAAAGGTGAACCCAGACTAACTCAGACATTAGTAACAGTGAAAGAGGGATGCACAGATCCCCTACCTCAACCCTCCTCAGAACCTGCTACTTGCAGGACTGTTAGGTAAGAGTAGTTGATTTCACAGTAGCTCCTGCTTTCTCTCCTTCTTTAGTTGTGTAGGTTCTACAACCTTCCATCATTTAGTCCAGAATAAAGTTACTTACATTTTTTTAGTAGTTTCCCCTTATTTTTTTCAGGCTAATTTTCTGCTAGTTTAGCAGTTTGAAGTGTTTCAACACTTCAATATTTACTGAGTGTAAATAACAGTAAAGGCAGGAGGCAGCTCACCCTTTATCTATCACAGGTGAGATTTTGAGCTGCTCAAGCTCTAAATATGTTTCATTTTGTTCTAAAATTAAAGACTATATCCCTGCAGCTTCATCATTACAGATAAGAAAAAAACTGGTAAGAGTAAAACCAGCATGGAAACATCCACATATGCCTTGAGTACCTCAACTGCAATGCAAAATCACAAAAGCAAATATGCACAACCTTAGAAAGGTGGATATTTCATAAAGAAGTATTTCCCTTCACAGAAAGGCCTTCCTCAGACACAGGTTGTCTCTTCTAGAAAGTAACTGAATTGACAGCATAGACTACTGCTTTCCAAACAAACAGGTATAACCTTACTCTTTCACACAAAAGGTCTTACGTTTTCCATGGCAACAGATTAATGAAATGCCATGTGCACATATAGCCAAAAATGTGAGGAACATGAACTTTACAACACTACACTTTGAGATCTTTTTTGTTTGAGGAAATAAGCAAATAGAAAGAAACAAAAGTATCCAGTGTTTGTTTCAAATATTTAATGTGCTTCTGAACAACCAGAAACTTGATACAAGAAGCAGAAGTACTGGTTTTCCTTCTTTGATGGAAAGGTATGGAAGCATCTGTCAAGTTATATTATTTCAAGACTATTATGTTTTCAAATATGTATGAAGGGAGCAGTCTCCCATAAACTTAGAATGTATCAGCTGCCTCTATCACATGCTGTGAACAGATTATATTTTTTGGGTACTGCATGAGGAGTAGAAGCTGATACTTTTACGGCCAGCCTCTGCTCATAAGCATGATGTTGCTGGTGTGGCAGCAGAATTTCTCCAACAAATACACCCTACAATTACAGTAAATCAACAATCACAGTATGTTGACAAGAAGTCCCACAACCATCCTCCTGGCACACCTGGAAGAAGGCTGTGGATGGCTCAGCAAACCAGGATGTTTCGGAAGTACAAATGGACACTGAAGAATACCCAACAGTGATTAGCACATTTTAAAACTTAGAAAAGTGAAAGTTGCAGCAAAGTAAGTACTCCTCACCCACCAAAACCCATAAAACAATGAAAAACTTCAACAAACACAGGAAGGCAAATTTTTAAGGGAATTTAAACAGTTATTAGCAGATCTGCTATGACTACTTTTTAAATTCAACATTCAACTAAGGAAGTGCTTCCTGATGAAAGTGGATCTTCCATCTCATATATTCAGCATGAACCCACTATATCAACTGCTGAAAAATACGAGACAGATTTTTACCTACTTTCTCCATGCTGTCATGCCCCATGAGCTCTACAACAGAAAATCAGGGCAGGAAAAAGGCAATGACATGACTGCACTGAACACACATGTCATTCAGGGTGCCCCAAATTCAAAGGAACTTCCAAACAAGACAGGCATTCCCAGGGTGTGTTGGCATTCAGTGGGGAAGCTGTACTAGGCTTAATATTGTAGGTCCTTCATCAGAGCTTCTTAGATTAATCTTCTGTCACGTTACCTAGTGAATGCAGGCACTTTTGTTCCTCTCAAGTTCAGTATAATATACCAACAGTCATAAAACTCAAAATAAAATACTCATGGAAGGTAAGATCAACAATTCAGAATCACATAGGACCAAAGCTGCATTTTGGGATTTAAAATCTTATTTACAACTTTAGCATGGAAAATAAAAGCTCATACTAGTAGGTCAAGAAATAATTATCTTTTCCCCATTCTTGGTTGGCTTTTGTAGGTTTTTTTCCCTGCTTGTAAAATTAATATTGGATGATTGATAACATTTCACTTTTCCAATAACTTCAAGTCTTGGAAGTACTTCTTACCTAACACTGTAATAAAGAAAGTTTTTTTATATCCCAAGACCATCTCTGCCACTAGCTGAAATTTATTTCAAGCTCCACAAAGCTGAAATTTATTTCAAGCTCCACAAAACAGAACATAGCCATGAATATGGTAAACTCAAAAGATTTTAATTTCAACAGCATAGCTTTTTATATCTACATTGAGCTTTTAACTTTTTGTAACAGGAAACATTGAAAAAGACAACTAATATTAAAGAATATTTCATACTGAAAGTTTAAATCTTGTCTTCCCTGTATAAAATCCAGTACTTTACTGTTTCACCAAAGTAAATTAGTAGAAATAACACAAGAGTTTTTCTCCCCAATTCTAGCCAAGGTTTTCCCAGTAATACAACTTCATACCTACAGTTAGAGTGTAAAAACTTTAAAAGCAGTGAAAACCTAACAAAGCAGCTAAACCTTAATATTAATTGCAATACAACTACTTCGTTGACACTGAATTGCAATGCTTTAAATATTTTTAGTTAAAAATCATCCCTTTCTTTTAATATGCAAAACAGAAGTGGCTAGTCTTCTCATCATAACATCCAATGGAAAGTCTATACAACACACTACTAGACAGAATGCATGTAAGCATGTGAGTAATTAGTATGTTACTGTGACAAACTATATTTAACTCCCACCCACTGGAACAAACATTAAGACGTTTCATTTAAGGAGGCAGTACCACAAACCTGAGTATCCACTCCACCTGAGGCAAATTTTTCACCACCTTTTGAAAAAGCCACACAAAGTACAGCTCCCTGGAAAAAAATCCAGCATACAGTAAAATTAGGGTATTACTGTAAGCATGGTATTTTAGTACAAAAAGAAAAACACCGATGCCATTACCTAACATAATAGATTTTTCAATTTTAATAAAACAAGGAACAATTTTACTGTAGTGAAATTTCTGCAAAACTTGAATGAAAAGGTAACATTGCGCGTTTTTGTAAGATGCTACATTACAATTACAACAATCTATACTAGGAAAATAGTGGAATTATCCTTAGATTTTATACTTCAGCTTTTCAATGAAATATTACAAAATACATATTACATTACTTAAGGCAATACATTTGAATGATTTATTATCAAAAAACAGGTTTGTTTGGCATTAACAGGAAAAAGAGGAAATGTTTGCCATTCTTCACAGAAGTTATCTTCTGTAAGCTTCCCCCTCCTTCGAAAACACTGTTTTTCAATAGTCAAAATGACTGAAGTCCCAAATAACATGATTTTGAAAATCAAGTGAATTATTAACGAATTCAGAACACAAGCTTTTACTTAACATCAAGTGTGTAATATTGACAGATAAAAAACATGGTTACAGGTAAAAACTGATGCATTTCCTTAACCACTTGTGACAAGGTGCCTTAATACACCTTGCAGTCCACTAAATTTTGTCTTTAAGTTGTAAGACAAAAGACACAATGGCATAAATGTTACTTTCCCTTGGTAAAGATACTGAACAACCTATTAAGATCTCCATTTAAAGAGCATTACTGTGTATACCTTGTGTCCATGAAGAGTGTAAATAAGTCTTTCTCCTAAGAGGTCCAGAATCTTAAGGGTACCGTCAGTAGAAGCAGTGATGAGGTAGTTACCAGAAGGATGGAATGATATACAATTAACCCCTGCTCTGTGAACTGATTTACAGAAGACAATATTCAAAGCCTGTAGATATCTGCTAAGAGGATATGTACACTTTATTTCTTTGCTCTTTTCTACTTCCCGAAGAGCTACTTCATTTAAGGGGAAAACAACCAAACTACTGGGGCATAGAAAACTCTCCAAAGTATTTGTTTAGCTTAGTTCTAAAAGTTAAGAGAAGCAAAGAAATAAAAACAATTCAGATTGGATTCTTAAGGTCGCTAGACTACTAAAGGATACTTGCAACATGTCAATATGACTTGTTTGTCCACTTTCCTCAGTAAGGAATGACATAACAGACTCTTAATAAATCACATTTAATTGCAAAGAGTCCCATTGTAAAGAAAATAAACTACATTGTTTTTACCTTTGAAATGCTGCAGTAACTTGTTCATTCGAATATCCCACAGTTTCACTGAGTTACTGGAACCTGCAGAAGCTATACATGTTCCACTGGGGTTGAAATCCACAAAAGTTGCAAATCTAAGTATAATTAAAGAAAACTGATTTATAATGTGTTTCCACAGAAATATTTAGGGGGGTGTGTATCTATATAAAACCTACAATATTAACACTGAGCTGTCACAAACTTGTGTGGAACCTACACATATGGAAAACTCAAATAAGGCATTTCAAGCAACTGAAATAAGCATAAGAAAACAAGATGTGTGTGATGAATCATAATCTCATTTTTGCTGAAAATATGGTATAATTGATCCAAGTCAAACCTTCAGAGTTTGTGCTACACTACAAAGTCCCTACAAGATAGTTCTCAATAAGAGTTTGTAAGCAACAAGTAAAATAATTTTGTCTAAGAACCAAATATCTAGCTATAACAACATTTTGGACTTGAAAAGGGATGAAGGCAGACATGAAATCAGCAAAGCACATATACATGATAAATATTCCACTGACTTCTTAACTAAAACTGGATACAAGATGTTTAAGAAAACTGCATATAAGTAAAAGCAAGTATTTTTTAAACTTAAATAAGGCAGATCACTGAAGGTAACAAAATATTGTTTCATCAACAAGTGGAAAAGTCCTCAAGCTTTTTTCTTGTTGAAACATCCAATATCAAATAGCATTATCAAAATGGAGAGAAAACATGGAAACACTTCAAAATCCAAAAACAATCTTTGTTTGGATTATCTCTTGATTGCTGGAAAACAACTGGATAAGTGCAGCCAGTTAACCTCTTTAGAAAAACATTGTATGAATTATTTCACTTGACATGGGTGGTAGAATTCTGATCTGTTTTAAGATTTAACATATATATATATGTCAGTACCATAGAACACAAATTAATGTCATTAAAATTACACTATTACATTTCTCCTTTTTTTCTAGTAAAACTTACTCCTCATAATCTGAGAAGCTACTAACACAAATTTTATTTCTTGTATCCCAGATGTTAATGGCTTTGTCCTCACCACAAGATGCTATTATTCTTCCATCAGGTGAAAATCTGGAACACACAAGTGTATACATTACTTAACAACTGATTTTGCCTAGATTAGAATTAGATACGTAAGTAGCAAAACACCAGAACCAGGGAAGCCTGTTTGAAATAAGGATGCTGAGCATTTAAAGGACATTTGAACTTGCAGTATTTCTTATGGACTAATAAAACTGAAAATAAAACCTTCTCCCCCTACTCCACTCTGCCCCATTTCACAATCAACTACAATTAAAAACAGAGCCATAGACAAGAGGAAGAGAGGAGGTTGGGGGGAAGGTATCAACAACCTAGGGATGGCACTTCAGATGACAAAGAAATTATTATAGAGAACCATAGACAAAAAGACAAAGAGAACACGGTAGAATCTTTTGTTCAATGTTAACCTATATATATGTTATCTGAGCTCTTTCTAAACTTACAAATAATGGACAAAGCATTCACAATTATTCCTAGACTAGCAGACAAGGTTTTTAAACAGGAAAATTGACTTGTCTATAACTTCCTCAAGCATTATTATTTCACTTACTGAGCAACTGCACAATGATATTAAAAAACCGCTCAAGAACTTTCACATGTAATTTCCCAGAGCTTTCATTTTTATTTTCAGCAGACAGATACTTTGAAACTTTGAAGGGGTCTGCACTTCACCAATGTTAAATTCCTTTCTCAAGAGGTTTATATCAGGCCTCTCTTAGCTACAGATTTTCCATTAATACGGAGGAAATTTTTTTTAAAAAAAAATCAGCAGTCGTTGCTTGTCTTTGAAGAGCTGTCCTGTCTTTAAAGAGTATGAATCCTAATTTGAAGTCCAAAGGCCATTTCTTTCACCTTTTCCAATTATATAAGCTTAACTCATCTGGATTCATGACATTCTTTAATGACACTACTATTCCAAGAATAGTTGAGAAAATCCCTACAATGCATGACAAATCAGAAGACCCCATTTGTCTTTTAATGTAATAGAGTGAATACACTGATTAAGTACGTACACACACATATAAACACAGAGCAAGCTTTCATACTTCAGCTACAAGATTGATACAAAACTTGTGTGCATAACATTCATTAATTAAAATTCAATTATAGGTGAGAGATCATTTGTCATTGGCAGACTTTTTTTCTCTTATTTCTACCCTGTGATATAAAATCATCTTTGTTATAAATTTGATTTTATCGACAGAATAAAAACAACACTTACTTGGCACAGCGAACCCAACCAGTGTGTTGGAATAGGGTAAACAAAGGGCGCTGATAGCAAACACTCCATATTTTTAGTAATTTATCATTGGATGCTGAAACTAGGGAGCAGCTATCATGGGAGAAGCTCACACTCCGAACAGATGCTGTATGACCTCTCAGTACTGATGATTCTCCATGACTAAGGGGGGGAGCAAAGAAAATGAAAGAAAACCCCAAATACTAAGTCACAAATCACAATTATATTAGATTTTAAATCCCCGTAAAACTCAATGTCAGCATATTTAGAATCTTACCCAAATGAAAAAGCAGTATACAGAGGTCAAATCTTAATGTCACCATTACTTTTTTACTTATTTAAATATTATTAGAGTAACATTTCTTAAGCTGCATCTAACATGACCAATTTTACAGAACAATGCAATTAAGCAACATTGGCCTTTTGTTTCATTAGCATTAGTATTTGAAAGAGATTTTTTTATACAGTACTCTATAAAACTGCTTGAAAGTTCAAGTAACATCAGTCTAAGATCATACTGAATAACTCATAATTGCTACTAGTCAAGAACAGTATGATAAAGCAAGTTCATTAAAAATGTTTTTCTCCAAAAAATGATTTTTTTCTTCATCACGTCTCCCCAAAATGAAGTGGAGCCATGAAATCCTTATTAAAATATAATCTTTAAGACAGAGAAATATTACGAAGCATAGTTCTAAACACACAAAATTGTGACCTCTGAGTTGTTATTTTTCTTTTGAAACTACAGATTATTAACAGAAAATAACAAAGTAATACAGTGAAGAATCATGTTGCTTGTTGTCCCCAATCTCCATTTCTGTCAAAGCCCAGGTGGGAAGGAAAAAAACACAAAACTTGAGAGAAGCCTTCAATATTCACATTACACAATAATGAAATACATATCCAGCAGTGCTCAGTAATACTCACATGCAAGGAATCCATAGCCTGATAGTGTGATCATGAGAAGCTGAAGCCAGCACCTGCCCATCTGGTGAGAACTCTGCACTTGTCACTGCTTCTGCATGGCCACCAAACTTGTAGGCTCTGCACTGCGTCTCCAGCTTCCACAATATAAGAAACCTATCCACAGAGCAGGTAACTGGCAAGAAATAAAATATATTAGGAGTCTGCTCACTGTTCTTATGAAAGTCAGAGCTAACAACTATGGATTTGGATTCACCAGAGAACTTAATGGGTACTACGGGGAGGGAGGAGTTACTGGGTTTTAATGGTTACTTAGCCTGAGCAGAAGCCTGGTAGCAAGTAATGCCAACACCAAGGTTTCAGAAGGATGTCACAAGACTGGGAGAAGTAAAGGATAGTTTTTAACAGGTAGCTCTCCCACATATTGCATCAACTGGCTTACAAGTATTTTGAAGACATGGAGCAAAATGTTCAAAGCTGAACATCAAGCACATCAGTCAGCACAAATCCCAACCTGCCTTTACCAAATCCTAAAAACAATAGACAAACTCTTCAGTAATCTCATTTTGATCTCTGAGATGGAATTTGTTTCAAGCATCAAGTGTTTAACTCCAAAAAACACGGGAACTTAAGTCATGACTTCTAACACTTCAGATATCTACACTTGAGTGAAGATATCAATATATAATAATTTTATAATACTATTTAAGTACCAATTTTATAATACTAGTATTTGTCTAGTTTAAAAGACAATACGAAGTTGTCAGTCTGAAAATATGAAGAACATGTCTGAGGGTGAATTTTTTGCAGTCACTTTACAGGTGAACTATACTATCTACAATCAAAAAGGCAAACATAACTTTTATCAGAGCTTGATCATTTTCAGGAACCAATGAGAAC